ACTGCATATCTATGAACAGCTGAAAGAAAATGAAACCTGGCTATGTAGTTTAACATTGTGTATTAACTTAAATAGTACACAATCTACCCATTCACAAAGAGTACTAAATTAGTTTCTGACTGACCTAAATGTGCCTATTGCTTCATAGTGAAAGGAGGCCAAGTAATTGTAAGTAAGTCTGTTGATGTGAGCAGCATGTAGCTTAGACATTCTGGTTCCAGCTTCACGGTTGGACACCAATATCTGAAAGCCAATTATAATCTTATTTTCCTGGCTCAGGAAAGCCTTTGCTACCAATTCAGTATAACATGTTTTTAGTCCATATGATACTAGCTACTGGCAGTACCTAGTCTCGGTTTTCTCTTTCCCATGCTTAATAAAAACAGTCTACACCACACTCCAGAGGAATTGAGTGGTTTTCCTGGGTATTTATTTTTCCGATGCCAATGGAATTAAAATACTTCCATAGAAGGTAAAACTCAGACAATCCTACTGATCATGCCAGAAAGAACATTTGGTGAATGACCTATTTATTTTTATAACTTTTATCTGTGTGGATCAAAGTGTCATTAGAGCATTTTAAAACATTCTGCGCAGATGTATTTTTAGATTCACATCTTAAAATGTTTAATTTTCTTCTTACAGGGAACAACAGTGGCAAAGTTAGTATTCAACTCATGGATGAATTTTGTGTTGCAGCTGCATGTTTGAAGCTGCTTTTTTGGCTTTGGCTTAGATAATTAAAAGGGAACGTTGTGTAAGAATTTTATTGGATGAGCCATGTTTAGAGCAGTCTCATAGGTCTGATACATCAATACAGAAAATTTAATTTTCTTTAAGATTAAGGTGACGCAAAACTAAGGAGTTAAACCTTAAAAATATATCCAAGTACCTTAACTATTAATAAAAATGTTGCTTATTCGTGCATCTCTGATTGGCCAGCTTCTCGACCAATCAAGAAGTCGGGCAACGCGTCATTACATAGTGCCCGGCTTCCTGACTGGCCATAAAGCCAACTCCATGCTTTCTCGTCACCTGGTGACGGAGTATGGAGAACGCTTCCCTGCTAATCGGGAAGCCAGGTGGCGAGTCTTTGCACACCGCCCAGCTTCCCAGCTAATCAGGAAGCCAGGTGGAGAGCTATTACACACCGCCTGGTTTCCTTAATGGGTCCATCGGTATCGGCAAGCACCGAAAAAAACAGATCAGTACTCGATACCGAAAAACCGGTATCGGTGCATCCCTACTAAATGACCATGGTGTAGAGCAGGGGTAGACATCTTCGGCAATTCAGCGGTTGTGGAACTGCAAGACACTAACAGCCACAGGCATGACTCTCGCATGATATTTGTAGTTTCACCACAACTGGAGTTCTGAGGTTGCCTAAACCTGGTGTAAAGTATAACACTGGTGTATAGCGGAGAGTGAATAGTGATTATCCACTCTTCAGTATAAATAGGCTTGTTAGTGTCACCTGCTTCAAGAAACAAAATAATATAAGTGGAATATATGTTCTTAAAATATTAAGAAAGCTGACGCTGTTCTAATTTAAAAAGAAAATGGTGTACAAGTTAGTGTACATAGGCATTTTGTCACGGATTTGTTGTTCGCATACAAATCCATGGAAATGTAAAAGCAGCTTGAACCCTCCTAGAAGGAGGTGAAAGAACTTTGAATGATCTGAAAGATAAGGTGAATGAACTTGCTTATTTACACAAGACTTGTATCACCCTAAAGGACTTTCTTTCAGTATGTTGAAATGGCACCACCTGCTGGTTAGAGATCATGAGGATTAATGGTGTTCGGCTAGAAATAGTTTTACTGTATTTAAAATGAAATTATTTTAATTGTTTACCTTTTAAAATGTGTAATGTTTACCTTTTTTAAAGTGACAATTATCTCGAGTTAAAACTTTAAAAATGCATTCAAGTATCCTCCTAACTATTAACAAATGTATCTTATTTGTGTATCAGCTGTAGATCATCAAATCATCTCTGAATTGATGCTGACGCTGTTCTTCCTTCTGGAGGGTGACTACTTTTGTTCCCCATGGTTACTGTGTGTGTTGTAATGTAGCCAAGCTCACTCCGTGAGGATCACAATCTCTGTACAAATTAACCACCTCCTGTCCATTGGCCGTACCTAAACGGCCAGATGGGAGCCTTGTAGATGTGAGTGGGCGTTTTAAGACATCCCTCCCCACTGGGGAAAACTACATCAAATGCAAACAGCCGGCAAGTGTAAAAAAATAAAAATCTAAGAAGCATAAAAAAAAACGAGTCACATATTTTTTTAAAAATGTTAAAGTCCCCGGGCCCCACATACGCAATTATGATTGCGCCCATTGTGCCGCACATGTTACATATCACCACGAACGTCGGAGTGAGAGTAATAATCTTAGGGCAATCAATCACTGATAACACTAAACCGATGAGTGGTAAAAGCTTTTAAAGCATCACCTAGGGACAATTTTGTGTGTGGTAATTTTTGCGGGCGCATGCAATTTTAACCACTTCCAGCCCCACACGTTACATATAGTCGCGTGTGTCGGAGTTAGAGCAATAATTCTAGGCCCATCAATCACTGGTAACACTAAACTGATGAGCGGTAAAAGCATTTTAAAGCATGGCCTATGGGAAATTTTGGTTATTGTATTTTGCGATTTCACTGACGCACGCATTTTTTAAGGCTTGACATGTTTGGTATCCATTTACCTGGCGTGACCCCATCTTTTGTATTTTACCAAAAATTGGGTATTCTATTTGGTTTCTGTGCACTATATTTAATTTTAGTGTATTTTATCCAAAAAATACATTGATAAACATTTGCACAAATACTGTGCGACATAAAAAATTGCAACTAATATTTTTTTATTCTACAGGGCCTCTGCTTTCAGAAAATATATCATTGTTTGGGGGTCTGAAGCTTTGTTTCTAGCCAAAAAAAATCACATTTTATGTGTGTGCAAACGTAAGAATTTGCTCCGGACAGCAAGTGGTTAAAGCTTGACATGTTTGTTGTCTATTTACCCGACGAGAGCCCATCCTTTTTTTTCCAAAATTTGGGGTGATAATAAATGTTTCATAAGATTTTATAGGGAACATTTTTTTTTTTTTCTCAACATTGTGATAACTTTTTTTCGTTCTATAGTACAAAATAAAACCCCCAGTGGTGATTAAATACTAGAGGAGCACCGAAATGGAATTTTTAAAACCGAAATGAAAAAAAGTCAGGCCGAAACCGATACCGAAAATGTTTTTTTTTTTTCATATGCGCCGATGTATCGGCCGAAACACGGCTCTTTCGGCATTATGCCAAAAGTGTCATTTTCGGCCAATATATCGGTGCATTCCTATTAAATACCACAAAAAGAAAGCTCTGTCTCCAAAAAATGGTATAACATTCCTTTCAGTACAGCGTTGCATGACGGAATAAATGTCAAGTACTGCAGCGCTGAATACTGAAAAATGGCCTGGACAAGAAGGGGGTTTAAGTGGTTAATAAACTAAACGTGAGATTGTAGTCCATCACAAGAGTGAGCTCGGAGCGGTGGCTACTTCACAACACACACGGACCATGGGGAACAGCCTTTTACAGGTCATTAGTTTAGAGTTGACCTGTGCTAATTGGTGAAGAGAAACTTAATTCCCATTTCACCACCACCATTTCTTACCTTATTTGCTGGGTTATCCACAAAAAACACTTGTTTGGTAATCCAGCAGTGTTTTGTGGGGATCTGGCACTTGGGTTCTTTGAGACGAAGGGGGTAAGGTTGAGATAACCGGAAAGGGGGGGCGGGTAGTGAGGTCCCTCCTGTTTACTAAAGTTAAATATTCTGTTTACTTAGCAAGTGTATTAACAATTTTGCGATTGAATTGTCACCACATTCATTAAGAGGAAAAATCATCTTGCAAAGAATACCCAATTGCAAGGGGGAAAAAAAATATATATATATACAGTAAACTCCCCATTAATACGGCATTTAAGCAACCAGAACTCAAGCAACCAGAAAAAGAAAATCGAGGATGTAATATGTCCTCAATTTTTTTGCCAGTTGCTTGATATACATGTGCACACAAATTGTGTTAAGCAATATTGGCAACTAGATTTATTTTGTTGCTTACGAAATTCTCTGTTTACATCTTGCTGCGGCTGACCGGTAGATTCCTCAGCTGGCGGGTGAATGTAAACAATGGGGAGTGGTTGTGTGCAATAGCCAGCCTGCTATTAGCTATGGCAATTTGAAATGGCCAATAGCAGAATCGAGCCAGCAGATGAATGGTGCAAGGGGCTGTTGCTTGGGAGTGAATAGTAACTACAGTTATCTGGTATCTACCAATCCCCATGGGTATCGGATAACTGGGAGTTTAGAGTTTGTGTGTGTGTGTTCATATATGTAATTTACATGATTTGATTATTGAAATAAGTGGAACTTCACCACCTTTGCAAACTGCATATTTCCTTCCGTTGAACAACCTATTTGCCTTTAGTAAATCAACCCCATAGACTTGCAATAAGAGAAAAAGCAGTAAACCATATTGATTGTGCAGCACTATAGGCAGGGCTACTAGCAGCCTGAGCATGTGTTGGGTGTGAATAATTGTAGCTGCATTTCTTTATTCTAAAAATTGGATTTTTATTTATGCTGATCGTTGATGGCTCAGATGACGGGTAGAGAATGCTAAATACTGAATGATGTTTGTTGCCTCTGTAGTGAATATCTCCCAAGGCTGCAGCTGGCTGAATATGGGTGAAAATGTATATCCGGCCTGTTATCTATTTACTTCAATAAATGTGTTTCACTAACTGCTTGTAATCTTAGTAGTTGATGCCGAGGCTAAAGACCTAAATTGCTGGAAAGTGAATCTTTTTGGGAGACGTTCCTAAATATCTGTCTTTCTGTAGATATGTTTCCACAATTTGGGTGCAGAAGCTGTGTCTTTTTCTCATGTCTTTTTTTCCTTTTTCCTTTTCTTTACCTGTGTCTTTCCTGTCTAAAGGAAGCCTCCACCTAAACGGTATGAACCAGGCTATGCCTCCTGAATGCGTGCATATTAATATTTCCTTTTTATGTCATAATATTATAGAACAAGAAAGGCATGCATTGTAATAAGGGCCTGTTCACACCAAGCGCGTTCCAGGAGCAGAGCAGTTACAGACCGAATCAAAACTGCGTCCAATGTATTCCAATGGTATTTTGGGCTCTAGTTCACAGAGCATGTAAAAAAACTACAGCAAGCCCTATTTTACCTGCTCTGGAACGCATGCAAACGCCCTGGAACGCACTGAAAGCCCATTCTAAACAAAAAAAAAACCAAACCAACTAACCAAAAACGGCCCTGAACGCATCAAAGACGTGGCAAAAACGCAGTATAACACACTGCACTGCGTGTGCAGAAACTCATGCAGATCTGGTCTGCATTTGGTGTGAACAAATCCTAAGAAGCCTACAGTCTCTATTATAATAACGCTAACCATGTCAAGTATTTTTCAAAGTTTGTACGATAACTAAAGCGTATTGATATAAAGTTATATAGCTTAGTTGGATCTCCGTTGTACTTTGCAACATAACGGCTATGAAAGTATCTGCATTAAATGTTTCATACTTTACATGTAATGAAATAAATTGAAGATCAGTTTATTAACCTTATTTTAACAATATACGTGATTGGATTATAGGAAACTAAATTGGTTTTCAGTTAGTGGAATTGATTTACTAACCGTGAACACTGTCCACTTTGCAAGGGGATTTTCACTTTGCAGGGGAAGTTTTCCTTAGCTTCATGAATGTGGTGATTTTTCACATTGCAAAGTCAGCAGAGCTTCACCTCATTCGTTAACTAAGGAAAAATCCCCTGCAAGGGGAACAATGTCTTTGCTTTTGTTTAATCCACCCCAATGTCACAACAGAAACTTGAAGAAACTTTACATTTTGGCTTTGATCCTCCAGCCTGCTGTGTCTTAGAGTACACGTGCCATCTAGTGGCCACAATGTGCATAATTAGTTTATTGGTTATGTGTTTCAGTGCCTTTCAGAAACATCTAAATTACAGTTCTGGCTTAGAGGAGCAGTTGGAAATATAACGTATAACTTTACATTAGGAGAGTTGTCAGGGAAATGTCTAATAGTATAAACGCAGTGCACACAATTGAAACTGCTGTAATCCTTTCCATTTGAGTAAATATTGATATAAGTAACGTAGATAATGTCTGACAGTAAATTGTTTTCCAGGTGGTTACTTTTGAAGATTTTCTTTTTAGTCTAAATTTGTCCATAAGTTCTATAATACAAACCCCCTGCATCACTAGGTTACTTCAGCACAAATGAATCCCCATACATTTCAAAAACCTAAGGCATGTCGCTTTAATATTTTGACTGCTGTTGTGAGCCTGTTGCATTATGTAACGAAGTCAGATCAGGTTTAGAAAATATTGCATTTCTTTATGGTATCATTGTAGTTCTGGTATTAATTTGCTATAGTTCTGCTATGCTCTAGTTTTCTTATGATCATTACTGGTAGATTACTGTAGCACTTTTGAGCATGTAATGTTTTCCCAGCTCCTGTTTCTCTGTTTAATGATTTTAGAGTATACAAAGTCATGTGTGTGTTTTTGTTCATACCCAGTTTAAAATGGGTTATATTGATGTGACCTGCATTTACAGAATCACATTCACATCTTAAAATAAGAGTTGGTGAGGAGACAAATCTTGTAGATTAACTATGAAAATCCTTTGTCCTAAGGCTTCTGTTGGTATTTTTTTTTCTCTAGTCCTCCTCGGAAACACATTGTGGACACAAACACAGATTTTTACCATACTCCAATTTATAGCGATGCCAGCAAAAAGCGTCTCATAGACCAAACTGAAGACTGGCATCCACGCACCGGTACTTCTCAGTCACGTTCTTTCCGAATTCTTGCTCAGATGACTGGCACTGAAAACCGTAAGTAATGGCAGCAGTTTAACTATTAGTAGGGTCCTCAATTTATGTCTCATATTTTGTGTAGAGACCAGAAAACTAGAAACTCCATCCAGTATTCTTGTGCCATCTTTTCCCATAAAGGCTGCTCCGTGTTTTAACTGGGATCTGAGGGAACAAGCATTAGTGCATTGTGCAGGTGCGCATTAATGATACGCTTAAAGGAAGCACCACACACCATTTGATGTCGCGCTAAAAAAAAAAAAAAGGACTTTCTTCTGCTCCAACAGCTAGCGTGATGCTGTCCCCACCTCAGACAGCCCACCTCTAATGCATTTCACTCACATGGGCATAGTGGTAGAGACCATATTTATTCTGACTCCGATTGTTGTGCTAGTGACTTATCCCTTGCTGAGACCTCTATTCCTGGCCTGTTTAAGCAGATTCAATCACTGAGGACAATCATTGTCAGATAGCTGAACTCACCAATACCTTTTCATCCACAAGGGTTGCTTTGTACATCAGACAACAGGATAACAGCGGATAAATGGTTTCAGTATTGTGCGGTCAAAAGATGATGCTTTCGTAGCCAATATTTATGGTTTACCAGCAAAATGAGTTTTACCATTTTGCTGGTAGACATACGGTGGCCATGTTCCTGAAGAACCAGCCAAAATTTAGTGGTATGCTGGTATGTGGGTGCTACTGTTGGCACTCTTTCGGCCAGCATCCCTCAACCAGCTGATTGAAGGAGGCTATGGAAAAATCTTCGTACCAACAGAGATGGCAGCCAATGAGCTGCCGGCTCTGTTAGGGTATTCTGACCGTGTCCAGTGGCCGCTGTCAAAATACAAAAGCAACAGCGGGGATTCCTAGATCAACACACTTGTCACATTGATGGAGGAATCTGCTTTTATTTTTTTTTCTTTCAGCACGCAGGTTGAACAAAAAAAAAAAAGCAGTGTATGGCCAGCTGTAGATCCTGACTTTATTACATCCCATAAAAGTTTGACTGCTGTGTTGCTAGTCATTGTATAAATAGCTCTGTAATGTTGTATTCTATGGACTGAAAATTTCTTATTGTGCCTCAAGAATATTCCATGCACCACCAAGAGCCACTTCCTTGATGGTGAATATTTTAAGAAACAAACATTTTAATTGTGCAGTGTTGAGAGAGCCACTAGGGTAGGGTGTTGGCAATAATAAGACACGCCTTTCGAGCAAGTTTATTTTTTATAATGTCTTGTACTTTAACCCCTTTATGACTTATGTACACGGTACCCCTCCATCGTGAAGTGCCCAAATGACTACTTGTGTACGCTGTACGTGAGCAGCTATTTAGGGTTTTGAAATGTAACCCCTGAGAATCAGCAGTTACTATTCATTAATGAATGCTTCAGTATTGAGGCATCCATTAATTAAATAGTTAAGCTTTTTGTAAAAGCTTCTTTGTTTCATCAGTGAAAGAAAGAAGCTGTTACAAATACCGCATAGCTTTCAGCGATCCGGTATTTGACAGCTGAAATAGCAGATAAGGAGAACCTGCTCACTGCTCTGCTATTTAAGTTTTGACAGCTCTGTAGAGATTGGGACCTTGCCCGATGTTTACATGCTGTTTTGTTACAATAAATTCTTCAGCCAGAAATATGTTACAATATATTTATTTGCTGAAATGTATCAGACTTCTGATGGTCTGAGATCGATCAGAAGCCTTTAGTGAGATCTGATCCTGTCATGCTGTCAGGATCAGTCATTAAGGTTATTATTGGCTGTTCCTAAGTTTGGAGCAGCCTAATAATAACCAAAAATTTAAAAAAACAATTAAATTATCAAGCAGTTATCGTGAAAAGAAATAGTGTAAAAAAAATTAACAAATTAAATATATATTTTTTTAACTATAATTATTAAAAATTAACCTTTTACAATGAAAAACTACAGATTTGTTTTTCACCCTAAGGGGTTAATTTTTTTTAATGTAACCCCTTCATGACGGCGTTCAAAGTATGTCGCTGTCCCCAAGTACAACAGGTAGTTCCAAATAAAGGACAAATAAATGAATTTATTTTAATGCATTTATTTTTAGCTGTACCATTTTAAAATAAAAAATAAAGACTGGGGCAAAAGTGTTTTTTTTACCTCTTTATTTTTAAGATGTTCATCCTAAGTGAGGCGTTAGGCACACGTGTGATATATTGTTTTTTAGAGGAGAGAGAGGGCAATATATTTATATGTGTGGGTGCACTTCGTAAGAAAGTATACTACTGCCGTGGAAGAATCACACAACAAAAATGTAAAAAGTGCTTCAGTCAATAACGAACAGAAACTCAAAAAAAAAAGCTCAGACGTGAAGGATTTAATGTCATAATTTTTTAATGTCATACTTACAACTGGACTCCAGGCAAACAACTGAATACACCTGAAATGTATGGTAAATGGTATTTGTTTTAACTGCCAAAAGAATTTGTATATCTTTCCATGCATTTCTGAGATTTACGCATTTCTGAGATTTACACATTTCTGCCACAAAACACGGCCCTGTACGGCATGGCGGGAGACCAGATTAATTTTCTGCTACAGCTGAGTAACACTTACAGGTCTTGTCCCGTTCCAAGGCCTGTGACTGGACAGTAAAAGGAGAAGCAGCATCCTTATGACCTCATCTCCCTGTCACTCTTTTCTCTCCTTCTATGAGCATGCTCCTTACTAGAGCACTGCAGCATTATGCTAGACAGACAGGGAATTGTGCTGAAAGACTAAAACCAAATGAACTTTAGGTACTTATACTGCTTGTATAAAAAAAATGTTTAAAGGAGAACTATGAGATGAGTGATTTCCACTCACCTCATAGTTCTAGCTGACCTGTGACAATGAGACGGTCACAGGTCAGCTCAGTAGATCGGGAGGTGAGCGAACACATACCGGGTTCGCTCACCTCTCGATCCTGCCACGGCTCTCTGCCGTGACACGGGGAGGGGCTGGATTCCCCCCCCCGCTCCGATCCGCCAGCGCTGCCTGGCAGAACGGACGGGGGAGGGGGCGGGTACAGCTGGCTCTGCCTCTAGATAGGCAGAGCCAGCTGTCACTCACGCAGCTGGCCGGATCGCTAGTTTGTGTCCTCCCGTTACCCTAAGGAGAACTATGGGGAAAAACACTGACCTCATAGTTCTCCTTTTAATACAGAGCTTCATTCATTTCTGTATTTTATATCTGCCTGGACTTCAGTTTTAAATCCATCCTCTATACTATATGTGCATATCAAAAGCATGTATAGACATAGAGTTGCCATTGCATGCTTCTTATTTTGTGCTTCCACATATGTAGATGACACGATTAGGCTCTCTTCTGCTCCAGAAGTAGAATTTCTATTGTTTCTGTCCGCTGAATGTATAGCATATAATACAGCTATATGAGGTCATATAACTAAAATGTTTGCATTGTTTTCTATCTAAAGTGACAAAACTCAGGAGTTAAACCTTAAAAATGTATTCAAGTATCCTCCTTAACAAAAAAGTAGCTGTGTGGTACTACTCCAAGCTCACTCCCGTGATGGACTATCATCTCCATAAAAATTTTTAAACTAAACGTGAGACTGTAGTCTATCACTGGAGTGAGCTTGGAGCAGTACCACACAGGGACCATGGAGAACAAAAGTCGCCACCCTCCAGAAGGAAGGACAGTTACGCATGTTGAAAAAAGACAAAAAAAAAGTCAATCGAGTTCAACTTGTAGAGAAAAAAAAAAAAAAACCTAAAACGGAATGCTATGCCCAGTTACCCACAGTTGATCCAGAGGAAGGCAAAAAAACCTATAAAGCATGGTTCAATTAACTCCAACAGGGAGAAAAATTCCTTCCTGATCCCATACGGCAATTGGATATTCCCTGGATCAACAATCTCTGATGTTTATTTTACTTCTAAAAAGTTGATATCTAGTAATCCGTGTCAGCACCAATTCAGAGATGATTTGAGGATCTACAGTTGGGTGATAGACAAATCGGATACATTTATGTTAAGGTATTTGAATGCATTTTTAAGATTTATCTCCTGAGTTTAGTGTCACTTTAGTATTGTATTGATTACAGGTCTTTGTATCCCTGTCTAGGTTTTTAACTTGGCTGCTATCTCCATCTTTTTCTATTGCAGTGACGGAACCAGAGCCTGACAATGTGAAAAAGTAAGTGTTTGCTTTTAAATAAATGTTGTTCTTTTTATTGCAATGAAGATTGAAAAATACTTTTAAAATGCTTCTTCTTCTCGTGAGCCCCGTATGGAATTGTTGTGTGGAATGTTTAAGTAAGCAGAATATTCTTTTTCCCTGCGTTTTCTAACCTGTCTAACATGATTCTAGCATATTTTTTACTTGAACTAACAGGAACTGTAGCGAAGTCAAACATTTTAGGAATTTAACAAGGCAATGGTCACTGATGATGTTTTATGTCTTAACCTTGTGTTTGCCATCTTTGTTGTCATATGCATTTACGTTGTCTTTGTGATAATAACTTTGCTTTAGGGTACATTTTTCTCATATGTCGGCCTCCTTGCGGAGTATGTTTTCAGTGGCTTCAGAAACCGGTGTGTGGCGTGTGATTATAAAGGCAAAATTCTTTGCATGTCGTTGTGCAAATAGCTCTGCAGTTGTGGGGGTTTTATTTCTTGTCAGATTTCTTTTCCTTATTGTTTCTTTTTTCTTTCTATCCTTTCTGTCTTTGTAGGGAAAAGATTCCTGTGCAAATAATTAGTCCAAAATATACCACATTGCGTGATTGGCACCATGGTGTCTCAGCCCGTACTCTAAATGTGCAGTGATTCTCTTCTCTAAATTATTTGTTTCCTATAAGTCCTTTGCTGCTTAGATTGACAGTGCTGTATTACAAGTCAGGTGTATGTCACTGTTCATTTGTGCATCATTTTCATGTTCTGATAAAACAAAAAACACACTTTTAGTATAAAAAAAAGCTCAAATATTCAGCAGCATAATGAAAATTGCTTCATACAGTTAGGGACAGTTATTGTGAACTAGAATATTGAGGGTAAGATTGGTTATGTACATGGAAAGTGCAATAGACTGGCTATATAAGTTGTAAGGTAAAGTGACACTCTTGGGCTTTCATTTTTGTTTTGGGTGGCATGTCAGAAAAATAGCTGTCACCTCTCCTAGTTTATTCTCCATTGGAAATGATTAACCAAGTGGGGAGCTAGGAGGGTTCTCCCACAACTAAGCCTCTAATGTACAGTTAGGGGAAGATCTCCCTGTTTGAATTGGACAGCAGCAAGTACTATAGGAGAAAATATCTCAACCCACTTTCTAGAAAGTTGTTGTTGTTGTTTGTTTGTTTTTAAATGCATGGGCATACCTGGCACTAAGCTGGACAAATCAAACTGAACATATGATGGAAAAATGAGTAATTCCCCATTCACACCTATTTGTTTTGTCACTATAGATGAGGAATCCCATTCATTTCTATGGTCTCTCTTCATACCTGAGCGTTTTGTTGTAAGCAGAAAAATGGCTGTCACTGGAAAAAGTACATGAGCTACTTTTTGTCAGATTATAGTGCGTTTAGTCTTATAGACTTGGCAATAAAAACGTGCCAATAAACACACAAAAACACTGTCGCCTAGGTGTAAATGGAGTCTTGTTGCATTTAGTAGGAATGACATATCAATTCAATTAGTTAATTCAGAGATACAGGCAGTTTAACTGATATGTAGATCTCAACATTTTTCTCTGATGGCTGCCCCTGAACTGCCGGCAAGCAGCTGAATATATATGAGACCTGGTTTACCTGCCAAAGGATTTGTGTTTTTGTTCATTCAGTTCTGAAATCCTACATAGCCCTGCCGCAGTACAACCTATTAATAGTTAAGGGAAATCCAATCCCAAGAGCATAAAGGTAATCCTTTTCACAGCTTACTGGTCCTTCGATGTGGTGGCTGCATTTTTTTCAGGCTAGGAGTATTTCCAGCAAGTACAAAAAATAACTGTTGCTCTTGCTAGTAATACAGTGCCCCTGGCACCTCCTGTGAGCTGAACTTGAAGACTAAATCATGGTAATATTTCTTCTGTAAACTACTTAGCTTTGCACTTATTTCATAATGAATATGGACAAAGCCAGACATGTTTGAAGTCCAGCCTGAGTGGCCATGGCTCCCTTTTCAGATACAGTAGATGAGTAAGCGTAGCCACAAAAGGACATGCAGTGTGTGTTTATATGCAGTGTCAACAGGTTAAAATTAAGGTGAAAAAAGATTGAAAGAAGTAAACGAATGCAGCTTTACATCTAGGAACTAGTATGCTGCAATATATAACATATATTTTAAATAAGCCTTAAGGAATTCAGTGGTGTCCACTCTCCACCCCCCAGATCGGTTTGGGCAGTGAATGAGCAGCTGTTCTTACGGCACTTTGCGCTCTACTCAAAAACCTAGTTGGCTTCCAGTTCTACCTCTGCTAGTCAGCGTGCTGCTGTAGTGGGGATTACAAGAGGCTGTCAAATTCAAGTAAAAATACTTCTTGTTGAATACATGGCTTCAATAATTTTGTGCCTTTCTTCTCTGCATGGAGTTTAGCTTTAAGCAGAACTTTTCCACCTTCCTGTTGGACAGCAGGGCAAAACGCATCAGGAAGCTTAGGAGAAGGCAGGGTCAAGCTTGACTGGATATTTATTTAAAACGTTAGCTGCCTCTATCTGTGCATCCACTGATCATTTTGATAATCTGTATTCACTGAAGGCAACCTATACCTTGTTTCCATCGTATGCTCTGGTTACAGGTTTACTTTAAAGGTGGATGTAAACCACATCTGCAAGCTATGTTTAAGTTGGAAAGTCCAGAGGAGACTTAATTCAAACATTGAAGGACCAAGTCCCTAATTCTTGCCATAGAATGGCTCTGCTAGGTATGCCCACCATTGCCCTGAAGTCTTCTCTTACACAGAATTATTGTGATTAGGAAATCCTGACCAATATGATAACAACATTTTTGAAAATGAGTGTTTACAGCAGACATAATACTTAGTAAAGATGCCCATACACTGGTCGAATTTCGGCCGGCTTTTAATATACCGGCCAAAATTCGCACAGTGTGTAGGGCTGTTTGCCTCGCTTTCAGCCGGCATTCCTTGATCAGCTCATGAAAGGAGCCGGCTGGAAAATTCTTGAGTGCTCAGAGCGGGCAGCCAATGACCAGTCTGCTCTGATTGGGTGTTCTGACAGGTGCCAGCGGCAATGTAAACAGCGTGATTCCTCGATCGATATGCTATTTGTTTTGATGGAGGAATAGGATCAATTTTTTATTGAGCGAAAAAGATTGATAGGTGTATGGCTAGCCTTAGAATATATTAATGCTTTTGGAGCATGTCGGATATGACTTGAGACCTAGAGAATGTCAAATATGACTTGAGACCTTCAGTATGTTGCAAACACGTTACTGTCTAATATTCTAGACGTACAACTGAAACCCTTCAGTGAAATTGTTGGAGTTTTGGCCTATAAGACAGGGATACACAAGCATCCCCAAAATCTTATCCCAGATGGTTATAGCTTGTATATCTGAACATGTATAAACATAAAATGTTGGCTTTTTGAATACATGAACGGTCCTGGAGTATGCAGATTTCTAAGTATGATTCTGGAAAGTACAAGCAGTATTGTGGGCTTTGTGAATGTACGGTGTGAAATAGTGTAACATACAAATACAAATGTTAACTAGATGCATGTTGCAGTGTAAAGAAATTCTGAAGGGTTAATTAGAAAGTAGATTAGTTTTCTCTGCACAATTAGGGCCAGTTCACACCATATGCAGTTGTGATGCAGTCCGTTCAGTTTGGCTGCTGCAGCCAAAATACATCACAATGCTTTCTTATGGGCTTTCTTGTACTTTATTCACACCATTGTATTCACACCAGATGCAGTCAGAAAAATACTGCTCATCCTATTTTAGCTGCATCTGATTGCACCGGAACGCAGCAAAACGCATGCAAACGCAACAGAACGCATACAATAAAAAAACAACACAGAATTGATTGTGTCATCCAGGGACTTCCTCTTTGTAGGTACAGCCAACACTATCACCATGCCTGTCAACAAAGCAAGCATGTCTGAGCTCCAAAACAAACAAAGGAAATGCTTTGGCAGGAAAAAGGAAGTGACCTAATTAGCATTTTAGTTTAAAGAAAACAACGCATCACAAATGCGTCAAAACGGATTGCAATGCAACTGTGCAGATGCACACAGTTGTGATGCAGTTACTGGTGTGAACTAACCCTTACAGTTGTGTATTTCTAGACCTCTTATCTGTGCTGTTTAAACAGTATTTTGGCCTGATAAGTGAGAATTAAAGATGGGTTTTTTTTCTTCTGCGACTGAAAACTTAAACTGTTTGCTTAGTATGTGAGTGTAGAGGCTGATAATGCACAACAGTGACACAATTGCATCACCAAATAACGATGCTTTGTTCCACATGTATTGTCAATAAAGGGAAAAACTGCATTGCGCTATATAAACTTTTGTTATATTTGTACATACTTGTATCCCTCTATATTCTTCAATTATACTAAAGGGTATATACTTTAATTATTTCATCATAATTATGGTGCTACTGAACTACTTTAATGATTTCCAAAGTATGGCCAATTTTTAAGTGATAGCCTTTCAACAATTTTTATGATGGGCATATGTTTTTTTTTCTGAATTATCCTTTCTTAAAAAACCCCATTGTCAATTTTTCTATGTAATATAATGTATCATATGACTTTTGTGACAATGCAATAAAGCGTATTTCCTTGTATTCTGTGTGTGATTTGCTAAACAGTTCTTTGCATCCATGTTTATATGCGTATGTGTGGACACATATATTCCACTGTGTGTTCTCTGTTTCTGTTTCATCATTTTACTTCAGCAGTCAAAGGTGTGTAGACTTAGGAGTGTTTATAAAATGTCCGCAGAGCTGTTCATTCTGTGAAAATTTGACTTTTACATCCATACAGCAATGTAGCCACTAGATGGAGATGAGGAGCATTGGGAAGTCTATGTGAATAGAAAAGTAACATTTTGCAGAACACTTTGGTTTTGTAAATAAAGTGGTACCTCGGTTCACAAACTTAATTAGTTCCATGATTCTGGTCACGAACCGAATCAAACTGTGATCAGAACGCAATATCGACTAGAGGAAGCC